TCTTCTTCCCAAGAAACTCTGGGCCAGGAAAGATCAAACGTATGTCGAGACATCCTCAGGTAGTGTAGAATCATATGTGTTCAAATAATGACCCCCGGGGGTAGGGCGGGGCCACAACGAAAAATCAAGGAACCTATAGGTAAAATCTTCAAAAATCTTCTTCTCAAGAACCTCTGGGCCAGGAAAGATAATACTTAGGTAGTGTAGAATCACATTTGATCAAATAATGACGGCAGAGGGTGGGAGGTGGGGGGTCACAATGAAAAATCAAGGAATTTGCATAGGAATATATATAGGGAAAATCTTCTCAAGAACCTCTAGGCCAGGAAAGATAAAACTTATGTGGAATCATTCGCAGGGAGTGTTGAATCAGGTATCTTCAAATTATGACTCCTTGGAGTAGGGCGGGTCCACAATTTTGGGATTAAAATTAATCATAGAAATACTTAGGAAAAGTCTTTAAAAAAACTTCTTTGTAAGAACCACTCGACCAGGAAAGATAAAACTTATGTGGAAGCATCCTCAGTGTAGAATCAAGTGTATTGAAATCATGACCCCCACCATTAGGGTAAGATCACAACTGAAAATTTAATTTAAAAAATAGGAACATGTAAAAAAAAATCTTTAAAAATCCTTTTTAAAAACAGTAAAGCTAGTATTGGCCACATGTAAACCCTCAGGTAGTTTAGAATCATGCTGTTAAAATCATGATATGAGGTTGTGGGAGGCTGGGCCACAATAACGATAAAACTTTTTTTGTGATAGGAATCTATAGGAAAAAGTCCTCTTTTATTGAATGAAAACGCTTAAATAAGTTTAGTTATAGTGAAATGGGAGCATCATTAGGTCGTGTAGATTCACATTGGTTCAAATCATGGTTCAAAGGGTATGAGGGGGCCCTTCTTTTCATTACTTAATTGATTTGTGCCTTTTTCTAGCAAAGAACAAGAGCCATCTTATGCATAAAATGGCCCTGTACTTATATCAATTAATTAACTATCACCCTCTTTCCATTTTCATATATCAAAATAAAATAGACACGTGGTGCTTTCATGTTCTATAATGAAATTTCGTTTTGAGAATCCAAATATTTGAAAACAGGCTTTGAAAAATTGCAATGTTCTTGAAATTTGCAGAAAATGTGCGTTTTTGACTACCTTCAGCAAAGAATTAAAATATGAGCACAGCCCACGATCCAAAAAATAACATGACATGTTTTTTGATCTTCAGAAATAGGCCTTTCGTTATGTATTGGCATATTTTGGATCAGAGGTTGTGCTCTATATGAAATATTAAAATAACGCTTCAACTTTAGGTCATTTTCAAAGGAATTTACAGGATATGAGGAAAATGACGCATTTCATGACGTCATAATGCATTGATTAGATGTAAAATTACGTCACAATTAATAGATACGTGGTCACCAACAATCCAAGAGATAAATACTGCATTTGCAACCTAAACTGAGCAGTTTTGAATTTTCAGAAATTCTCAGGGCCAAATAAGGCCCAAAGTGGCTCAAGTTTGATGTGGTCAATGTGCATCTTGTTAAATATATCAGATGGCACTTTGATTTAGCCGAAGTGAAATTATTCTTTTTACAAAAAAATGTATCTGTTTTCAATAGCATGTATCCAAGGCTGGTTTGGTGAAGGATGTAGACAACGTTGTAGTGGACACTGTATCAATCAGGATTATTGTCACCATGTCGATGGACATTGTCCTAATGGCTGTCAAAATGGTTACCTTGAAAAAATATGCCACAAATGTAATGTATATATTTAATGCTATTAACTAAGAAACGTTTCATGCATACAATTTTTTAGAAGACAAATGCATTTTTTTTCTTCTGCTCTATTACGCCTGAAATATTCAACGAATGTTCTATTAAAGCATGTGCGTCTGGTTTCTACGGTGCGAACTGCTCAAAGACTTGCTCTCGGAACTGTCTAGAAAAATGCGAACATACCGACGGATCATGTTTGTGTAAAACTGGCTGGACAGGATCCCCAAATTGCAGTTTAGGTGATCATGAATAAAAATCATGTGTTTGTCGATGTAGATAAACTATAGAGCATATCATAATATTCCAAAAACAGTCTTTATATTCAGTGTATATGAACATAGCATTGGAAGTTCTCAATCATAATTATGGTGAGAGACATATTACATTCAATTGATGACTTATTACGGATCTCTACATCATGTTCCAATGAAAAAAAAAATACACAAAACATTTTTTCTGTAGAATGTCCTCACAACACATATGGAGAAAATTGTATTCAATCCTGCAGTTCGAATTGTGTGAACGGGACATGTGATAGATTCAATGGTAGCTGTACTGAGGGATGTAAAGATACATATTTTGGAGAAAATTGTGAACAGAGTGAGTGTAAAAAAAATTCCTGTAGGAATTTGTTTTGCCTCAAAATTTGTTTAATAATTATGTGAATCATACACAAGTACTAATATTCGGGAACTTTCAGCATCACGAAAACCTGATTCATAAATACGCCAGTTAAGACATTGTCTTAAGCTACCAAAAGTCTTTTAACCATAGATTTATCAGACTTGTTTCATTTCTTGTTATTATAATTTCAAGGAGAAGGAACTCTTCGTCTTCAATCTAAAAGAACGTCTGCTCAACCACTTACCATTGGGGCAGTTTTAGGTGCATTTGCCGTTGTGATCATCCTTCTCGCATTGCTTGCTCTATTTATGCGGTAATTTATTTTTTCCCTGGAATCTTTATGAATTTGTTTTTAAAAAGTATTTTACAATTTGCAAGACAAAAAGGATACAAATGAGATTAATCCGATTTTTATGGTTTTAAAGATGGGTCATTTTCTGATCATTTATTATAGATTACGACGAAAAGTACACAAGGGATCCAGCAGGGCCTCTGTATCTATACAAATGTCACCAGTAACATCCCAGAACCAACAAGCTGAAGGTAAAGGTTTTACTCTTGTATTTATTCATAGAACTGATTTTATTTCAAATGTTTTTTAAAGATAAATGAATAAAACATGTTTTTAAAGACGTTTTGAATTGGACTTTCCGCCCCTCTGACAATAGACTTGAGAAAGATTATATAAGCGAAATCCTTGAAAAAAAAATAAATGTAAACAAAAAATCATGTGTCCTGCTCAAATAACAATGTGTCTTGCAATTGAAGCGTAAGACAAAGGTATTTCTTTTAACTTTTAATTCCTAAATTATTTAAAATGTTGATTTTGATGCAAAAGTATGCACAATTTTTTACACCCGTTCATAAAAACAACCATAAACCGTAACAAAAATAGATTAGTTCACTATTAAACAATATTGTAAAAACGTTGATTCACCGTGAAATTTGGCTTAAGAGTTTTTTTTAAATGAAGATTTAGAACCTTAATATGTCTTAAATTACATCCTAATGATTTAATTCTTTGGGGAAAGATATCCAGACTTTAATATACAAGTAAATTTCGACATTAGGAAATTACTGTAAGGATTTTAAAAAATAAAATATATTTGAATTTCATGATAAACATACTATGATTTACTATAATGAAAAGTTTGATCTACTGTAGTTAACTACTGTTTACTTTAAATGTGAATTATTGTTAAATGTAACAATAATAATTTTTAGTAAGGGGAGGTTCATTTTCCTTCAGTGGGAGCTAAATTATCTATCAAAATTACAATTTCTTTTTCAGCACTTCCGTCAAAGAAAAGAAAAGAACAAAATAATCACCAATTACATAATGTTGAAGAGAAGGCTAAGAGAGGCCCTCCTACAAATAAAACCGTTCTCACCAGGAATCTACAGGCAATCATTGCCAAAATGTCTCCTGCTGAAAACGCTGGATTCAAACACGAGTATCATGTATGATACATGTACATAATTATGTACTTTCAAATAATTTAAAGTTGATAAATGAATATAAAAATCTATGATATGTGCATGTCATACAATCATTGGAATGCGTGAATGACGATTTTGTGCATTTATATCATGACTGAAAGGCACTCTTTTACAAGCCTAAAACACTTTCTTGAATTTTATAGGAAATACCGAGAGGAGAACTGTTTCCTTGTGAAGAAGCTAAGAAGCCTGAAAATAAACCTAAAAATAGATACACAACTACTTTTCCTTGTGAGAATTACAAGTTAAAGAGTTTTTGTGCAACTGAGAATATATCTTTTTGTTTGTTTGATTTTAATTGAACATATATATATTGTCTTCTTTATATTGATTCATAGATGACCACTCTCGAGTTGTACTGAAAACCACTTCTTCTAATGAAAATGACTACATCAATGCAAATTATATCGAGGGAAGTATAATCATGAACAGTGTTTTTTTAGATGAATACCAAACATATAGTAGCTAGATAAACATTTCTTAAAAAAAGAGGCAAACGAGACTTCCTTTGAAATAATTTAATCTTGCAATGAAACATTTTTTTACCACGAAACATTTATATCAGATAAATAAGACTTTTAATATTCCTATCACGATACTTTCGCCGTATATTTTAATAAATTCTGAAAGTATCTAGTACACTTTAGATGGTATTAAATTACTGTTGACATTTTGGTTAATTTGTACATTTATTAATTTTTACTTCCATAGGATACTCAGAGTAATCGAAATTACATTGCAACTCAAGGTAATTTTGTTTATTTGTTAATGTAATTATAATCGCAGATCGAAAACAGGTTTCATTTTGTTCTACGTGTGATATAATTTTGTGATATTGCTAGTTTAAATATACTTATTAATGTTTTAGGCCCAAAACCAAAAACAGTGGTGGATTTTTGGATGATGGTGTGGCAGGAGTGTGTTAACACCATTGTTTGTCTGACCAATCTGAAAGAAGGAACAAAGGTTTGATGAGAAAATGAATACACAAATAATCAAATTTCATCGTTTAAATAACTTCCGGTTTTATTTATGAATAGAAAACTCTACCTTATGATTGTCACTTTAATTTTGTATTAAAAAAATGGTTCAGCATTTATTTATCCGTCGCAGTACCTTAAGCGGTTTGATTTTTAAGGCACACGTACAAAAACGTTTCAGTGGACACTCCAAGACAGAGGGTCATTGGCCTACCTGTAATTAGAGTTTGGGTGCAATCAAAGAGAACTATCAACGGGAAATTAATTTTAAAAAAAAGAGAAATAGTGCTACAAAAATACGCAATATACATTGTAAAAATGTGATCAAAGAAAACTACAAAATTAAATTTAAGTGATATGAGTCACAATTTTCGTGGTAAAATTTTGGGTTACAACTTATCCGTCATTTTTTAACTTAATTAAAATACAACTATGCATATTTGTAGTAGAACCGTCTTAGGTACAATTTACATCACAAAAGATTTTTGCTGTAATAATGTACTCTTTAAATTAATGTCATTTTTCACGAGAGTTTAAGAGCGACGATTGTGGCTACGTACTGCCTTATTTTTCTTGTAGATCAAATGTACTCAATATTGGCCAAATTTTAACGATAAAATGCAGCATGGAAAATTTATAATCAGAAACCTTAAAGAAAGGGTATATGCCAATTACACATCAAGGCGCTTCAAAGTGTACAACAGCATGGTAAGAAGGAGTTATAATGTATAATAATAGCCTATAAGCGACTTTAATTATGAAGTGTCCTTCCCTTTAAAACTAGAAAAAGCCCACTGTTATTCTTTGTTCTTTTGTGCTTTTTATTCCGAAGACTTTGAATACCTCCTTTCCGAAGGAAAGTGATAAACTGCTTTATTCTTGTGTGTTTTTCTGTCTGGGTCTAGCTGTTTGTCTATCCGTCAGAAATTCCTTCTAGCAGTTTCTCAGATATCTATATATTTCTTATGAACAATGGCTTGCGTACTTCTTGTTTGAATCTCATTACATTGTATGTTTAAATTGACATATTTCCATGACGGTTGGGTCTATACAAATGTTTGTTTTATGCCCCAATAACTGACCATTCGTGTTTTTAGATTTCGCGCTTTTGAACCGTCTATCTAGCTGTCTGTTTAACGTTTTGTATATCTGTCCTCAAAAACTATAACATTTTTTAATAACTTTTGAATGATTAAATTTATGTCTTTAATATTTTACTCGTATATTCCTTGTGACAATGATCTTTTTTCGTTGGTGTTTCATCCAATTAAGCAAGGATTTACCAAAATATAACCTTGTTCGTAATTTGTTGACAGTTGAAGCTAATTTTGTCATACTTCTTGTGTACATTGTTATAAGACCTTTCTAGGGATATAAACATGCTTGACATTTTAATCTCTATCTTGGAGTTTGACCCACTCTTAAAAAGTCTTGAACTTTGAATTTGATTTTCAAAATATGAGTTTTGGAACCTGCATATTAAACAGATTTATTCACAGACAGCTTATATTCGGGTGCATCAGTGTTCGCAAACACATCTTTTTCCTTTATTAGGTCACCTGAGTAACTGAGGTGACCTATTGTTAACTGTTTTCGTCCGTCGTGCGTCGTGTGTTAACATTTGAACATTTTCAACTTCTTCTCTGAAACCACTGAACCAATTTCAACCAAATTTGGTATACAGTATCTATGGGTCAAGGGAAACAAAAGTTTTGAATTTTATGGTCCCCGCCCCCATGGGACCTGAGGGGTGGGGCCAAAACCACTAAAATTATTGCAATCTTTAAAAATCTTCTTCTTTACTCCTGGACATCAAGCAGGCAAACTGTTGGTATGAATGTAATAAGCATTGAGTCCTCTACCAAAATTGTGAAATTCATGGCCCCAGGGTCAGGGGTTCTAATGCTAGGGAGGGGCTACATAGATTATAAAGTGAAAATGCATGATTTCTTTGAAAATTTTCTTCTCTGCTCCTGGGTATTAAGTAAACTAACTAAGTACATAGTTATAATGAGCAAGAGTGCGTCTTTCAAAATTGTGAATTTTATGGCCCCAGGGTCAGGGGTTCTGGTGTTAGGACGGGGCTCTATTGATTATAAAGTGAAAATACATTAATTCTTTGAAAATCTTTCCTTTGCTCCTGAGTTTTATGCCAATGATCCAAAAATACATATTTATGATGAAGAAAGGTGCATCTAGCAAAATGATTATTTTTTATGCCCTCCTCCTGTGTTGGGGGGGGGGGGGGGTACATAGTCTGAAAATAAATTAATGCTTTGAAATCTGCTCTTTGGTATTAATCAAATCAACCATTTTATGATCAAATTTGCAAAATTTTGAAATATGTGGCCCCAAAGTCAGCGGTTCCTTTTGGATGATGTGCACAACTGCATATAAGTGCATTTTCTCTTTGTTACTCTGATGATCTACCTTTGGGTATTAAAGTAAATAGAGTAAATATGCTAAGTCTTTAATCATGATTAGCAATAGTGCCTCTTTAAAAATTGTAAATTGCGAATTTCATGGCCACAAACCAAATTTAATTGTTTGAATGTTGTTGCACAATACTCAGGTGACTTAGAAGGCCCGTGGGCCTCTTGTTTATTGATGTGCTTTACATTTTTTTTTAAAAATAATTCAGTATAATCATATAAATTTCAGAACAGAACAAAAATAAATAAATAAATAAATAAAAATGCTAAAAATCAAGTATTTAAGTATTTTGTACATTATTGTGAGCCATATGAGCAGTGTATTTCTGAATTTTTCTTTTCTCTTTACCGAAAACACATCCTTGTCAGCAGGTTTCTGATACAGTACTATTCCTGGACAGGTCAAAAGTTCTTTTTTTGCTGTAACACACCATGAACATCTAAAAATAATTGATTTTGAGATACATATGCTCTGAATATGAGGAACACACACACAAAAGAATGTGTTTGGATTACATTTATCTTTAAAGCAACGAGGTGAAATTAAAACAAGTATTATCTTTCTCGAGCGAAACTAGAATCAAGATACTTATCTGGAATATTTTCATTCTCGTAACAATGTTAGTCCTCCATCAAGTTTGCTTATAATTTCCTCAGATAATCACTTACATTTATTGTTCCTAAAATAACGGTGATAAATGCATCAAGACAAATATCCACTTTTTTCCCAAAAATCCGTTATGTTTATTTAACCTGTTGCGATAACTTTAGCACAATAGGAATATAAAAACGAAATTATATGAATAATCGACATTGCATCGCAAAAAAGCGGTCCAAAAATAATATCCACGCGAGCACAGGTCTTATATACTCCATTTTGAAGGAAAAATGCCATTTTACATCAAATGCGCATGCTCATATTTAATTCTTATTAAATTAAATGTCGATCGACTCATGCATACAAATGGATGCATACAAATTTTTCTCCAAACATTAGCGATTCCAATGAAACAACTATATGTAATAAAATAATGCTTACATTTTTTTGTTTTAATACATGATATATATCAGCTCCAAAAGGTAATTTAACGTTTGTTTAATGCTGTCGTAATTTTCGGCACATGTATGGAAGATCCTAAGGATGCAAAAAGGTAGATTATTGGCTATATTCATTAATCTTGTCTGAGTTCTACGCATGAGCAGCTAGGCGTATCTAAATCTATACAACTCACAGAATTTATTAGATTTTAGGATTTCAAGCAGCTAGACTATCATATCTTTAAATCCTAAATCTCTACGCAGCACTTCACTCGGTTCAATCTTGAAAGCACAATAAATACAAGCATTAAACGTCAAATCTTTAATTTAATGATTAATTGTATGATTGACTGCGTGGTGATTAACATATTATTTGAGAATTATGAAAAATTAAAATTACAGAATATATTTATGAAAATACTTTCAGGAAATATATTTTTTCTTCAAATATCAAGCTCATTTTAAAAAAAGAACGACTAAATACATAAACATATGTATGCAACGCGTAAAAAGATAATTAAAATAGAAATATGTAAATTTTAAGTTAGAAGGGCCATACACAAACATAAGAGTATTATTTTTAGGGACCCCATTGCAGACATTATCTTCATTTATTTTTTTTTTAATTATTTAAAAATATATTACAAAAATCTTTCTTTTTCTATTATTGAATAGCCTATCCTAAAAAAAAAATGTTACGTCTTAACAAATATTGACTTGTATCACAATGAATGCTGTTGTTCAATGTCAAAAAGTGAAATATAACAATTCAAGGACCCATTTTCCCGATCAAGGAATGATAAACATGTAGCTAAGAAATACGCACGCTAACTCTCGATTCCCGCCTACATTTTGGAACCATTTAATTCAATATAAATAGAAATTTGGCCATAAAATCTTTGTTTAATACAAAGAACAGTTTAATGTTAATTGATGAATTGCCTTAATACCAGCGCTAAACGGTAAATTATCCATAATTCCAGCTCTTGAAAAAAGGGGGGTAGACGATATTTTCAATTGAAATCGGAGCATCACCATATTTTGAAATAGTCTTGGATTTGATTAAATGTTCTTTATATCTTTTCTTATGTTTTAGGCAAATAAATAAAACATAAATAAATCAATTAAATATAATGTTTCAGTTGTATAACGCTTTGAAATTGGTGGAAAATAAGCATTTTTATCGGTTTTTTTGTAAATAAACATATGTTCCCCCCGTGTCACACAAAAAGCTTTAGTATTAACTTGTGAAATAACATTCCATATTACCTGTAAAATGGAATTTTTGTGACACGGGGGGGGGGGGGGGGAAGATGTTTTAAAAATATTTTCCTTTGATTTCTATAGTGAAAAACACAAGTTTTACCAAAATTTTAAAGTTATCTCTCTTTGTTTTCCTAAATAAGTAATGTTTTATGAAAATCCCTATAATTATCTATAAGAAACATTAAAAATACATCGAATATATTAACTTTATATTAACTTTTGAAAATTGACTTGGAGGTAGGCGGGAGAACAATACTATCGTTCGCAGTTCTTCGTTAAATTACATTTTGTTTTCAAACCGACATTCGTGGTTATGGAACACAAACATCTTGAAGTCATAAAAGTCTGGAAAATTGCTTTTGATAATGAACTGTCAGATTATATGCCACCTGCAGCCGACTCTTTCCTAAAGTTAAAAAACTTATCAATCTCAAATATAAGTAAAATATCTCGTATCTTTTTCTGCTATTTATCTATATGCATGCCTGTTTTCTTGAAAAACAAATCTCAGACCTTCCCTTCCAACAAAAAGAAATACATTTACCATTTTTTGTTGAAATCTGAAAATCTGTAACACACATCCATCTAGTATTTTTTCCCCAAATAAAATAAATTATAATTGAATATCACCAAGTGAGAGAAAGAAAAATCTCAAATACTTCGATCGTTGGCGGGTAGGTCTTTTTTTCCTTTGACTGACATTTATAATCTTTTAGTTTTCTTTATGTTAATTGAAACTGATGAATTGTCCGGAGAAAGTTTTTGAATTCATTATATTAAAGATTATGAATGTATATAAAGCTAGCAAAGTGAATTTGATGAAAGGTACTATTTATATGCAATGCCAAAAAAAAAATCATAATCCATAAAAATGACCCACAGAAAAGAAAGCAATATAACATTCTTATTTCTTAATGGAAGGAACGAAAAGACCGTGAGGTGTTGATGTATCATTACACAAGATGGCCAGACCACGGAGTTCCTGATCCACTCAATCTTGTTGTGTTTCATCGTCACGTGATGAAAACGTCATCAAAAACTGGAAAATATTCATTGGTGCACTGCAGGTTGTATTGTGATATCAAATTTATTGAATACCAGTTCTTTAGACTCTCTCTCTCTCTCTCTCTCTCGCTCTCTCTGGTTATAAAATCGTTATATTAATATGTTCTTCTGCTCTTTATCAATCAGATGACATAAACATGATATGGTATTTAAATATTAGATCGGGAAAAAATTATAATGAAATGTTTACATGTATATTCAGAGCGAGACATTTATCGAACCACGCAATTTGATTGGTTGATAAAATTGTAAGCAAGTCTATGATTGTTCAAGAGGGAAGGCCCGCATAACCCTCCTGGAACTTCAATTGGGATGATGTTTCATTCTAAGATACCCCTCAGGAAACATATCTAATCATTTGATACATGTAATAAATGAGAAAAATGGTCAATATGATAAATTATATCGATAAATTGAAAAAGAAGAGTCGTCCGCGTGGCGCAGTGGTTAGAGCGTCTGCTCTAGAGTTGCGAAGTAATGAGTCAATCCTTACGTCGCGGAATTAAATCCCACTGTTGGACGTGGAGACCGGTCCTTCGGATGAGACGGTATAAACCGAGGTCCCGTGTCGCAGTAGATGCTGGCACCAAGAAGGAACCCTCCCTGCTCAATGGCCCTGAGTGCAAAGTATAGGACAAAATTTGCAGCTCTCCACCGGCAAGTAGTGGCGTCTCCATATGAGTGAAAAATTCTCGAGTGGGACGTTAAACAATATACCATCAATCAATCAATCATTAAGAAGACTTTTAAAAAAATCTTATTGTTAACAACAGAAGAACAGTTATGATGATTCAAGTGTGTAATGCGTGTCCATTACAATTCCATCCACTTTAAGAACTGCAAAGATATTTTCAATGAATTATACTAAGAATAAATGTAAACATTAAGTGAAAATTGAAACCTAATTGAGTAAGTCAAATAACGAGAAATTACAGTTTTTTTTTTCTATTGTTCATGCATATACAAGAGTGATGTCTGTCCATACATTGAATTTGATAAAACCTCAGGGAATAAATATTAGGATCATTTTCAAAGTGTTCCGATCAAAAGACTCAAAAACTCAAACTTATAGATGTACTTTGCACAGACGAGGGAATTTTCCAGCTCTGCAATAAAGATATTAAATTTATTATCATATGTGTGTTTTATATTATTGATTTTTTTCTAAATATATATGTATAGGGGTGCCTACAGGTGTAAATTCTGCATTTCACTTACAAGTATTTAAATTAGTCAACGAAACATATGAAGATAACGAACAGTATTCAAGATTTAAAGTCACTAAAACAATACAAAATAGGAGCAGAGCAACCACGGACCTCCAAAACATCAGTGATGGGATCAGGTGTCAAGGAGGAATGAGCATCCCATGCTGACCGGTCACATCCGCTATGTGCTTCTAAAGATAAGCTTTATTTAAAGTCAGTATGGTAGTTTAAAAGTAACACAAGCTCTAATGAGCTTTTGAGTGACATTTAAACCTATAATAGCTTCTTATTACGAGAAGGAAATAGCAGAAAAAGCGAATGCCAATTCAGTGTATAAATCATGGAATAACAATAAGTATTAGTCAGCATTTGACGCTCTTGCATGTCAAATGAACTGAGATACATGTATAAAATCCGTATGCAGATGATGAATTTCTATAAAAATGAAAAGTTGACGGTAGAAAAGTTAATCACATTTATCATAGAGCTTGGTTGATACCATTAAATTTTTGAAGTAAAATATCCAAATATGAATTATGTGTGTCAGACTCTGTGGTATCTTTTATCTCAAGCTCACCGGGAAATATCGTATTGACATAAGAATGGAAATTACCGTTATTATTTGACAATACAGTCGTCGATATTTCTAAATGTCGAGTTGAAGGCCACAGCAAGTGTTTTCTTCTTTTCTCAGATATGGTTTTGCACAAATTCCTCTAAATATGAATACAAAAATAGTCTGCAGGTCGCAATTGGTACCCCTTGGAGCTTTAACAAATTTTTTTTATATATATCTCGTTCATATAATTATGAAATTGTGTTACATATTGTTCTGAAAGACGTCTTGGGGAAAATTGAAATACTGCATTTATACACAATGTTGTTGCATAACTCAAAACCTTTACAATATTCTTTAAAAACAAATTAGCATATTTTGTTTTTCTTAAAGATAAACACATTATACTGAATCAATTTTTTTTAATGGTCGATTTCAGAATTATTCTTAAATTTCATTATGTTAGGAATTGTATTCTTTTTTCAAATTTTACCGAGGTAAATACTTCGCGTTGCGAAATCAGATCACCTGATATTATTAAAAAGTGACAATTTTCAACAAAAAGTAGAAAGCAGTGGATAATATTGCTTTTAATTTGAATACTGATATCCTAGGAAGGTATTTACCCATGTTTTAATTTGCTATAATCGAAGTGTATGCTTTCAGCAAATGATGTCTATAGAATTTTCAACTATTCAGCGTTTACCTTGCTCATATTGGCGGTTTAT